ATAAATAAATAAATAAATAAATAAATAAATAAAATAAATAAATAAATAAATAAATAAATAAATAAATAAGTAAATAAAGTAAATAAATAAAGTAAATAAATAAAGTAAATAAATAAAGTAAATAAATAAAGTAAATAAATAAAGTAAATAAAATAAATAAATAAATAAATAAATAAATAAATAAATAAATAAATAAATAAATAAAATAAATAAATAAATAAATAAATAAATAAATAAATAAATATACCATCTTTTTTTTTGTCTTGTAAAATAGGATTAAATTGTTTGCTAAGAAAAATTTCATTTTTATAAAAAGTATTAAAAGGAATCTCTATTATGCCACGAATTAATGGTGCTGCTGCTGCTGCTGCTGCTGCTGCTGCTGTTGCTGTTGCTGCTGCTGCTGGTGCTGGTGGTGGTGCTGCTGGTGCTGGTAGTGGTGGTGGTGGTGGTTCTGTTGATGCTGCTGCTCTTTCTGCTGCTTCTAATGCTGCTATAGTTATATTATTATTACTGCTGCTGCTGCTGCTGCTGCTGCTGCTGTTTGCTGCTGCTGCTGCTGCTGCTGCAGCATCAGCAGCAGCAGGACTAATTATAGGTATATCATGGAGGGGAGAACAAAAAGAATTATCTTTTCTTTTATAATAAATTATAAATCCTTCTTCTCCTTCTTTTCCTTGCTGCTCTCCTATACAATCTATATCTGCTGCTGCTGCTGCTGCTGTTCCAGCTGCTGCTGCTGTTCCTGCTGCTGCTGCTGCTGTTGGTGTTGGTGGTGATTGCTGTTGCTGCTGCTGTTGCTGCGGTGGGTCTCCTGCCGCTCCTGATGAAGGAGATGCTGCTGCTACAGACAGATAACGTCTGCTGCTAGGACAAGAAGCAGCAGCAGCAGCAGCAGCAGCAGCAGAAGCAGCAGCAGCAAAACGCTGCTGTGCTGCTAGACGAGGGTAGATGAAGGCTCTAAGAGGAGATAACATTGCGACGGATATCCTCATAAATGGTCTGCTGCGTCTGCTGCTGCTGCTGCTGCTGCAAGCGCTGCTGCTGCTGCTGCTGCTTCTGCTGCACTCGTAGCTGCTAGCAGCAGCTGGGACCTCGCAAGAGAGAGAGGGAACAGCAGAGTTGACAGCCGCTGCTGTTGCTGCTGCAGGTGCTGCTGCTGCTGCTGCTAGGAAAGACTGTTTCAGTCGTATGCCCTCAGAGCAGCAGGAAGGTACAGTTGCTGCAGCAACCAGCAGCAGCAACGGCAGCAGCAGCAGCAGCAGGCGTGGAGTGTACCTGCTACTGCAGCAAGAACAAGAGAAGTTAAATAAAGACATCAGCAGCAATAGATACATCAGGATTCATATCGTCTTGCTGCTGTTGCTGCTGCTGTTGCTGCCGCTGCTGCTGCTGGTAGGATGCAGCAGCAGCTACAGCAGGTTCAAGAGCTGCAACAGCAGCAGCAGCAGCAACAGCAGCAGGGGACATATAATGACTAATGCTGCAGCACAATAAGATATAACAACTTATTTAATTGATTAAAACAATTCCCCATCATAAGACATGCATAGGGCTTCGATGCTGCTGCTGCTGCTGCGGCGGCGGCGGCGGCAGGCCTCTGTTGCTGCTGTTGCTGCTGCTGCTGCTGCTGCCGAACCGTGGGGTTGGTGTTGCTGCTGCAGCGCAGCAGACTGCGGGTAGATACACATTCCTTTTTATTATTTATTTTATTATTTATTATATCTAAGCTTATAATACACTGCGGCTGTTGCTGCTGCTGCAGCAGCAGCAACAGCAGCAGCAACACCAGGTCACCAGTTGTATCACTGGCAAGACATCGTCATGTAAAACTTGCAGCAGCAGAAACAGCAACAATAGCAGCAACAGCAGCAACAGCAGCAGCAGCAGCAGCTGCTGCTGCTTCTTCTATATAGGAATTGATTCTTGTTTCAGGCATGAATTAGGGAAAGAAGCAGCAGCAGGAAGGAGGTTCCTTCCCTTGTTGCCGCTGCTGCTGCTGCTGCTGCTGCTGCTGCTGTTACTGCTGCTGCTACAGATCTTCTTGCTGCACAGCCAGGTCAACCAACGTTTATACTGCTGCTCCTTGTATATCCTGCTGTTGCTGCTTGCTGCTGCTCTGCCCCTGGGTATCCTTGTGTAGCAATGCAGCAGCAGAGCCTGCAGCAGCAACAGAATCAGCAGCAGCAAAGCCTGCAGCAACAGAAAACGCAGCAGCAACAGCAGCAAGAATCGTCACATCCAGACCGGGAGCCACAAGTGCAGCAGAACCAGCAGCAACAGCAAAAACAACACCAACAGCAGCAACAACAACAACAACAACAACAACAGCAGCAGCAGCAGCAGCAGCACGCAGCGCCATTAAAGAGGCGAGCAGCAGACGTTTTGCATGCAGACAGCAAAATATTAAAAGGGCCAATTGACGTAGCCACATTCTACGGAACTAAGAGCAGCAGCAGCAGCAGCAGCAACTGCAGCAACAGCAGCAACTGCAGCAGCAGCTGGAGACTTGCATCTCTTAGTCATGATGACAGATGGGAGACCGCTAGCGAGTCTACCTCAGAAGAAGAAACAGCAGCAGCAGCAGCAGCACCTGCTGCTGCTGCTGCTGCTGCTGCATCTACAGAGTATGGGGCGTCACATCCGGCATGCAGCAGCAGCAGCAGCAGCAGCAGCAGCAGCAGCAGCAGCAGTTTTCCCAGTGAGCTTTCTGGTTTAGAACGTGTTCGCCTATGGCAGCGAATAGAGTCATTACTCTATGGAGACCAGCAGCAGCAGCAGCAGCAGCAGCAGCAGCAGCAGCAGCAGCAGCAGCAGCAGAGGAGACGTCGTCCTCAGGTACCATTATTTGTATTTGAGAAGCAAGCAGCAGCAACAAAGTTTGCTGCTGTGCTGCGTCGTCGTCTTCCTGCTGCTGCTGCTGCTGCTGTTGCTGTATGGGCAGAAGAAACAGCAGCAACAGGACAACGAAGATTTTGCTGCGGCTCCCTTCGTGCACTTCTTGCTGCTGCTGCTGCTGCTGCTAGGAGAGCTGAATATCTAAGGCAAATACAACCACTGTTACAACCAATAAAACCTCCTGCTGCTGCTGCTGCTGATCCTGCTGCTGCTGCTGCTGCTGCTGCTGCTGTTGCTGATACGTCTACAAGCGACAGTACAACCAGCAGCAGCAGCAGTAGCAGCAGCAGCAGTACTAGTCCTAGCAACAGCATCAGTACTATAACTAACAACAGCAGCAACACAAGCAGCAACAGCAGCAACAGCAGCAGCAGCAGCAGCAGCAGCAGCAGCAGCAGCAGCAGCAGCACTGCATGCAATTTATATGAAGTATTAGAGAGCGGACGTCCTGTATGGTTATACTTTGACATAGAATATTCATTTATATATAATAAGCAGCAAGGAACAGTAGCAGCAGCAGCAGCAACATGGCAGCAGCTGCTGCTGCAGTTACGTTACTTCCTTTGCTCCTGCTGCGGTATATGCATGCAGCAGCAGCACATTATTACCCTTGATGCTACTACCAGCAGCAAATTCTCTCGTCATCTTATTATTAAATATATTAATTATAATTATATTAATAATAATAATAATAATATAAATAATAATATAAATAATAATAATAATAATAATAATATAAATAATAATAATATTAATAAGGATGCCTTATGGCTGCTGCGCGACGACTGCAGCAACAGCAGCAGCAACAGCAGCAGCAGCAGCAGCAGCAGCGATAGTGCTGCAGCAGCAGCAGCAGCAGCAGGAGCAGCTGATACTGCTGTTGCTGCTGCAGGAACTACAGAGCTGCTGCATAGCCTTGGCAGCGCTGGGGGTACTGCTGCAGCAGGTGCATCAGCTGCAGCAACAGCAGCAGCAGACGGTGCAGCAACAGGGGCAACAGGAGCAGCAGGTGCAGCAACAGCAGCAGAAGCAGCAGCAGCAGAGGAAGCAGCAGAAGAGAAGCAACCTCAACATATACGGGAAGATGCAGCAGCAGCAGCACAATCATCAGGAACAACAGCAGCAACACCAACAGCAGCAGCATCACCAACAGCAGCAGCATCACCAACAGCAGCAGCACCAGCACCAGCAGCAGCAGCAGCAGCAGCAGGAACAGCAGCAGCAGCAGCAGCAAAGTGTAAATCTACATTGATGCCTAATACTCAGACAGCTGGTCGTCTAGCAGAAGTCTTCGTGCTGCACCTCGCCAACAGATTGTATGAGCTGCAGCAGCAGAAGCAGCAGCAGCAGCAGCAGCAGCAGCAGCAGCAGCAAGAGCAGCAAGAGGGCAAGACCCAGCAGAAGGAAGAGACCGAACTGCCAACGCAACAGCAGCAACAGCAGCAGCATCAACAACAGCAGCAGCAGCAACAGCAGCAGCAAGAGCAGCAGGACGATGGAAAGCAATGTGATTGTCGTACAGCAGCAGCAGCAGCAACATATGAGGATTTGCTGCTGTTATTCCCTCTAGCAGGACCAACAGCAGGAGCAGCAGCAGGAGAAGCAGGAGGAGCAGCAGGAGCAGCAGCAGCAGCAGCAGCAGAGCGTCGCTGTATAATAGATAGCTGCGTATACACCCGAAATAGATGTTTTAGGTTACTTGGATCATCTAAATATGCTAAAGATAATCCTCTTAAGGTACGCTCCTGCTGCTGCTGCTGCTGCTGCTGCTGCTGCTGCTGCTGCTGCTGCTGCTGACGGTGGTGGTGCTGCTGATGTAACTTCTGCTGGCAATTCGGTGTTGGCGCTGCCCGTTGTTGTGCTGCTGCTGTTGCTGCTGCTGTTGCTGCTGCTGTTGTTGCTGCTGCTCCTACACTTACAGTACGTTCCCCAATGCTGTTTGTGCTGCTGCTGCTGTTGTTGCTGCTGTTGCTGTTGCTGCAGGTGAGCAGCGACTGCTGCTATCCTTTAGGTAATTGTATAGAGCTGCAGCTGCTGCGTAGTTTAATTAGTTTTGTTCCTCCTTCCCTTAATATACCTCTTTTTTGTCATCCTTTTATTGCTCCTGCTGCTGCTACTGCTGCTGCTGCTGCTGCTGCTGCTGCTGCTGCTAAGGCAGAAGAAACACGCAGCAGCAGCATTTGGGATGAACCATTAGGAGATGCAGCAGCAGCAGCAGCAGCAGCAGACTGCTGCAGCAGCAGCAGCAGCATTTATGGGCGTCTGCTGCCAGCAAGGGGTCTCATAAAGGTTAATGAGACAGGATGTATAGAAAAGGTGCAGCCAGCAGCAGCAGCAGCAGCAGCAAGAACAGCAACAGGAACAGGAGCAGCAGCAGCAGCAGCAGAATATATCCCTGGTCTCCCTACACATATTGCTGGTCTTCGTGAGGCAGCAGCATTTGCTGTCTCCTTTTGGCGTCAGGTAAGAGATGCAGCAGAAGCAGCAGCAGCAGCAGCAGCAGGAGCAGCAGGAGGATCCCCTGATCAGCAGCAGCGTCATCTCCTGCTGCATCAACTACAGCAGCAGCAACATCATCATCAGCAGCAGCAACAGCAGCAGCAGCAGCAGCAGCAGCAGCAGCAGCAGGACGTACTAAATGGGTGCAGTATAGTATATTATCCATCAACAAGTACCATCACAATTACA